CGGGGACTGACACGACCAATCTCATGTGATTGCGGTCGAAGCCTCGCAAAGGCATAGGCTAGGGACTTAACCCATTGCGAACGTGGGCCATGTGCCGCAAATGCGAGGGAGGCAATATCAGCACCAGAACAACAATATACAACACACAAGAGATTTTTGAATGGACCCTTGGGATTCATTCAGAATTTTGTACACACAGAATAAATATGCTACTCAACTAAACTCTATGTTCCAAACTTAATAAAACCATCAAAACATAAATCTAAGGTCTTCTTGACTCGAAACTCATAAAAGTCACAATAAACTAACTTAATGTTCAAAAAGACTAAACTAAGGATAGAATATCTGAAAAATGAACCAAGACCTTCCCTAAGCTAAAATCATCCCCCAAATCCAATGCAGCAATAAAAAATTTGATTCCAGAATCTAAACCCCGAATGTTGATCAAAGTCAACTCAAAAACTAAAGTCACATTAACTTCCAACTTAAGATCTCAAACTCATGAAACACCTCCGAATCAGAAAGCGACGAGGCTCGTAGACCAAATTACACATTTGGGGCTAATGGAAATGAAGGAATTTTATTCCAAGACTCGAAACTTTGATTGCTATTAAAAACTACTTTTAAACAACTTAAGCCTTTCAAAACTCAAAACTTTCAAAAATCACAAAGTTTTGATCAAAACTCAAAACCTACTACACAAACTGATAAGATATGACTCGAGGTAAGTTTCGGGAGGGGTGAAACGATAATTTTACAAAAATTCCAAAAATTACCTTCCGGGACATTACAACGTGTAACACACATGTTCGGAGCTAGTCACTATATTTCAATGTGTTGTAAGAGAGACGAATGATATACTTTATTATTATTATTATTATTATTATTGTATCTAACTCTGATTAAATATTAGAGAATTTTTATGTGATGAATGTGTGCAAATAATAATTATAATATTAATAATGATGATGACGACGACAACGACAATGATGATGATTATGATTGGAATAATAACAACTATTTGATACGAAAGGTGTTAATGGACTCCCAAAAAGCCCATGAAAAAAATAAAACACACCAAAAATACTTACAACCTACTTGGCCCAAATAAGCTAAGTTAGCTCTATTTAAACAAGAACCCTATGAAGTAGGGTTTAATAATCAGTTCCTCAGGATTCCTTTCTTTATTTCGTTCACTCCGCCGTTGAGGATGTTTTCTTTGTGCTTTTCCAACTCCAACTTCCATATCCTCTAGTTGTGGGTGATAACCCTTCCCCATATACAAGTGATTTGGAATGTTCAGCTTGCAAAGGTATATCTCTTTCTTTCTTCTTCTCTTTTCCTTCCATGTCGACCACTGACTTTTTTTTTTTTATTCATGTGTACCATCCAGTGGAGATCCCTGAGCTTCCGGGAAGCTTTCTAGACGGTTCAAACCTAACATTTCAGTTATGTGGTTCATAGTAAGTAGTGTTTGATCTTTATTTTGTGTCTCATTCACCTCCCTTTTTTGATTATATACTTGATCCTTTTTCCAGAGATCTAAGATGAGGGAACTCAAGGAGAGCAGTGACTCCAACTACCTTCCATATACGATCCATACTAGATCTGATCAGTCTCCCTTTTTCACACACATAATCATGGACTTGAGCTATTTGTAAGTCATCTCTTTTTTAACCCTTTATGTATATTTTTTAATTATCTATTATTTGTCTTTATATATAGACATAAGAAAGATTCACCACATTAACTCACATTAAATATACAAGATTTTTCATGTGTTGAATGCGTTCAAATAGTTTTATGTGTAACGTTATGCAATTTATATTTATGTCAATTCATTTATACACTTATGAAATATAAATCGGATTGTTCAAGGGGAGTTCACCCAGACACATCTGAAATATAAAGAGGATTTTTCGAGGGAAAAGATCTATCTATATTGATGATGATCCATTATTTTAAAGTCTCCGTCACATCTATTTTATGCCCTCTTGTAGCGATCGATTACGCTAGTCCGGTTAGAACTTCTCTACAGTTCTCGACTCTGATTGAACTAGGGAGAATCAATATTTTTTGATGATTGAAGCGTAGTCGTAGTAGATTTGTTCAATCGGGATTCATTTAAACAAGTACAAATAGTAGCCCTTGACATATCAAGCAGATTGTTTGAGGGAAAACATCTATCTATATTGATAGTGATCCATCACCTAGAAGTCTCCACCACATCTATTTCCTTCCCACTTGGAGCGATTGGTCAAGCTAGGACATTTAGAACTTCTTTATAGTTCTCAATTTTGATTTAACTAGGAAAGATCAACATTCTTCACGATTGTAGCAGAGCCAAATGTGATTCTTTCAATCGAAATTTACTTAAAAAGAATAAATAATAACCCTCGACACCACAAAACATGACCTACCAGCTCAGATTGCAGATGTAGGAAGGCGGTTTACCTGCTAATCAAAGTGCATTATATATTGATAAATATAGTGTTAATGAATTCATTTTGAGGAAAAATTGATGTTTTGCTCTATAATTTTGAGGACATCACAATCTGGCTGCTAAATTGTTTGATGAAGGAGTAAAGCATCATAGTGATATCGACACGGTATTGTGATTTACTTATATACATTTTTTATTGTGTTTTTGAATTACTTGTGCATCAATAAATCAAATTTGAAAATTTGATCTAATCAAATTTAAAAAGTTGATCTAACACATGTTCTATTAACTATTAGAAGATAAACAATATTAATTATGTCATAATATAAAAATAAGTTAATTGTCTTATTTATTCATTTATTAAGGCTCTTAGTATTGAACCTGTTATATTTCTAAAGTTATGAGTTCATATATACTATTTATTCCAATTTTAATATATTTTTACACATAAATTTGAACAACATAAAAAATACTGAAGTCAGATAAATTAGTCCCAACATACCTTAAGAAGAAAAATACAGAAAACACTAGACATAAAGCACATCACTGCAATTATTCAAGGTGTTATAATATCATATACAAAATCCCTAGTCTAGTTTTTTCTATATGACAAACTCAATACTACACATAATGTGAATGCTCAACAAAGAGTTAGTGTTACTATTATGTACAAATAAGATTCTATCATGCACAATTTTACTAGCTTCATGATGATAATTCACAATTTTCAAAATGTTTTGTCAAAAACAAGCTATGTTAAGATAATTGTCATAGTATTCAGAAAAAGTAGTAGGAATAAAATAGTTATGGATTACAGAAATATATTCACTATACTCACCCAATATTCTGCTTGATCTTTAACCTTCATGACGTCTTGCTGAACTTTTTCACCTTTTATTTCAAATACTTTGACAGACCTTTCCACCTCTCCTCCTCTGTTTTGAGCCTCTTACAAGCGCCTTTAAACCTTTTCGAGTCATTTCTCTACTGCTAAATTTTTTATATTTCTTTATACCAAGTCATTTATAGCTTCTTTAGACACAAGTATAGTAGTCTCTCTTAACTCATTGAATAGAAATCTTTTTTCTTCACATCTTCTTATTTAGAAATCTCACTCAAATACTGTTACAATCAAGTTATATCAAGCTTGATATACGCGGTATCAGAGACAAAAAATTTCATAACTTTGATGGAAGAAAAACTAAAATAAGTGATTTTCAACCGCCTGACTACATCACTTACTCATCAAGAAGAAAAGCTTTGGCAACTAATTATTTATAGTGACAATTGACTGTAATGTAACTATACTTGGAAAAATGCATGGCAGCAAGTATATGAGCAACTATTTATGCTGAGCAAGAGCTTGAGCTATGTCAAGTTAAGTCGTTGCGCGCTAGCAGTTACTCTTTAGAGATATAAAACTCCAAGTCGATCAACATGCCTACGGAGAGTTTAAGGAGTATAGTCGAAGACACATTCAAGTATGGCAACACTACAGTCAACTGTCATTATATATCACCAGCTACTAAAGCTTTCCTTATTGATGTTGTTAGTAATGTTATCAGGCGGCGGAACACTAGTTATATTAGTTTTTGTTTCGTTAAATCTATGAATTTTCTTTTCTTTGATATTGCGGAAGCCAAACTCGATGTATTTTGGCTACAATAATATTTGATGAGATTTATAAAAAGGAAGATATGGAGAAAAAATATTTCTATCTAATACCGTTAAGCGAGACTAACTTGCTTGTCTCTAAAGTAGCTAAGAAGAACATGATAGAAAAGAGTAGTGAGGTTTTAGCAGCATATAAACGACTAAAAAATGTTGAAAGACGTTTACAAGAGGCCATAAGTCGAGATGGAGAGTTGAACAAGTCTATAAAAATATATGAAATATTGAATGAAAAATTCAATAAGACACCATAGATGCTAATGATCAAGAACGAATATTTGTTAAGTAGGTTGAATGTGCTTCTGTAGCCCGCAATTATTTTATCTCTACTACTTTTTGAACACTATAGACAATTATCTTGACATAATTTGTTTACATCAACATATTTTTAAAAAATTGTGAATGATCATAATGAACAGGGGCGGACCCACATGTGTTCCAGGGGGTTCCTTCATAACTAAGCGTTACGTCCAGGGTTTGAATCCCTGGCGAGCATTTTACTATTTTAGTTTCAGTTTTTTTGTTTTTCTTAGTTTCAGTTTCGTTTTTTACGTTTTTTTTTAAATTTATTTTATAAAACATGCTAAAAGTGTGGTTTTAAATCCAAAAGAATTCAAGGGTCTCATTCCTTGAAAAAAAAATTGTTGGCTTATTTAAATTTTTATACTTTTATTTTTCGAACCTCCTGAATGAAAATTCTAGGTCCGTCACTGATCATGAAGTTGACAAGATGACACATGATTGGATCTTGTTTATACATGATGGCGACATTTAACTTTTTTTGTGAACATTCACATTTTGTGCACTATCAAGTTAGCCATATAGCAAAAACTAGATTGATTTTTTTTTTTTTAAGTAATACTATAATACCTTGGAACATTTGCAATAATGTGCTTCGCATCTAGTGTTTTTTTTACTTGACGTACAATTTTTTTCATTTAAGGGTCAAGAAGTACAAAATTCGATACACATACACGAGTGTTAGACCCTTTGCTTATACAAATTAACGTGGCTAGTTACTTAGCCATGCAAAAAAATAAAAATAAATTGCGAAGCTACCAAAGTTTTGAAATTAAACTTTGCTTCATCAACCAAAATTTTGTTCTTGTTTCTTTCTTCTCCATACACTATTTCTCAGTGATTCAGGTATGTTTCTTCCCTTTTTCTTGTTCTTCTCTCTCGTGCATCACCCAACTCAGATTTCTCCTAACCCCTCCATTCAAAATTTTGAATATTGATTGTTTGATGTCAAAGGTGAAGTCTTGAGTAACGTATGGTTGATTCTACCATTGTTTCTTGATTGTGTATGCTCGGGGAGTGTTAGAGTGCTTCAATTTTGTGATTTGTGTAGGAGTAGAGTTGTGCACACCAACTGTTTGTCAAAATGTGTGGACAGATTTAGGTAGAGGTATTAGCAATCTTTTGTTGCAGCTATTGTTTAATGAAGTGTTTGTCTTCTTTGAACGTAAGTGTGAAGGGTTTTTAATACTTGTTTGCTGAAAGTTTGGAGAGACCGAGAGAGGAAGATACTTTGAATTTTGGAATTGAGAAGGAATAGAGGTTGTGCGCACTAATGAAAGTGAACAAGAATGAAGTTTTCAAGTTTCAATAGTGATGACTGATGAGTAATTGTTGATGTCGTACTCTGAATTGTTTTGTGTAGTATTCCCTCATGTCCCTGATATGATTTTTGCTTTCTTGGTATGCTCTTTTATGATTGAATCATGCAGTTTGTAAGGGTGAAATATAGGTAAAAGGATCTGCCCCGGCCAGTCTGAAGAGGCTGAGGTCTTTGGAATTCTGGGAATGAGTTATGTACCCTCCTATTATGCTTACTATGATTGCAATGGGGACCATGCATATTTTTGTGTAGGGGTTAGGGTGGTTTGTTTTGTGATGACTCTAGATTTTTTATGATGATTTGTGGATTTTTTATGATGAATGTGGAAATTAATTGATGTTGATGTGATCTTTTTGCGTCTTGTAGCTTGTCTGGTACCAAAAAAGTTTAAATTTTGGTCTAGAACTTCCCATAAGTGTGCTTTCCAATATAACTAAATTTCATTTGGTGAGAACATATAGGAGGTACATGAATTATACATGCTAATTTGGTATTGAAAATAGTAATTGAAGTGGATGCTTGATATTTTCTTATCCATTTATGTTAACCTCTCCCAACCAGTGAATTTTTTGTTTACTTGATGTGTGGATTCAAGATATCTTGATGTTGACATTTTGTTTGGAAGAAAAAGGATGATATGTTTTAGTAATATGTTTTACCCTTAAATGAGCATTGAGCATGTCACAAAGTTATTATACTACTTCTCTTTTGAAGAGGTTTTGGATTCCCCAACAACAATTAGTCTTGAACAATTAAGTTGTTCCCCTGAGTTGTGGCTCAGTGTCCTTACCGGTTCATTAGCTGAAACTTGAGTGAGCTTGTAATCTCTATAGTTTTTCCAAATGGAGAAGCTACAAAGTTTTTCTTTCAATCTTCTAGAAAATTGAAGATTGCATATAGTGTATTTTCTGTATCGTTTTATCCCACCAGTAATTTGATCTCCTCTATATCTTCAATGCACTCTCAGATTGGTCAAGTGTGCATGTACAAATCAACAGTCTTGATTAATCCCTGTGTCTGTGAAGGTTCACGGATGTGGCATGTTTGGAGCTTAAGAGGCCACGAGTATCATTGGTCACATAAACCCATGACAGCATAATTAATTCGGTCCATCCAATCAGTCAGTTGGGTAAAAAATTGGAATAGAGTTCCCTTTCTCAATGGGAATTTGGGGGATTAGTGCAAGGAGTAGGAATTGGCTTGGCCTCTGCAACATCAGTTGGCGAATGAGTAGACAGTCGTTCAAGCACATTGGTCGAAGAACATTTTCAGACTCTTACACTGTCCAAAGTGACGATTCTGTCTTGCCAGTGTTGATTATTGGTGCTGGTCCAGTTGGGATGACTCTCTCCATACTTCTAACGAAACTAGGTATTTTCTTGAACCCCCCCTCCTCCCCAAAAAAAAGAAAATTGAAAAATATTTATTTTCCAGTGGTCGTTTGAATATAAAAGTGTAAGATGAAGTACAAACATAAGTGAGGGTAAAAAAGTATTTTCCTTGAAGAAAACAGTTTCAAAATCCCAAGCTAACCTAACAAAAATAATTTTCTGCATACCAATTGCACTCAGCTTATTGTCAAGCTCTGGATTCTGGGGTTCTCTTTTGAAATTTGTACAGTCATTTCTGTTGGTATTCTTGTTTGAATTTTGGAATTTTTTCTTGAACTCCTTTAGGTGTAAAATGTGCGATCTTAGAGAAGAACAAGGCCTTTTCCACACATCCTCAAGCACACTTCATCAACAACCGGTCTATGGAGGTTGGTTGTCATTTGGAAACATGCCTTTTTGCCTTTTCTTCTGTTGCATAGAAAGTTGAGATTTGAGAGTGCATTGATTGAAAAACCCTTTTTTTGATGTAGCTATTCTTTCTAGGTATTTCGCAAATTGGATGGTCTTGGAGATGAGATTCTAAGGTCTCAACCACCAGTAGAGTTTTGGAGAAAGTTTATATACTGTACTTCACTGACGGGGCCTATTTTAGGTGCTGTTGATCATATGCAACCTCAAGGTAAGGATATATTTATGTGATTTATAAGTGAACTTTTTTCTAGATGTTCTGCTAATGGGTTTGCTATAAGTCAGTATCTTAGTCATGCTTATTGTTATTGTAAATTAAATATTCTATCAAGTTTTATGTTAAACGGTCCGAACTAATGCAAAATTAAGAAGTGACTATAACCAACTTCTCAAGCAATTTATCTCTAAAAAATGTTGTAGTAGCTCTTCTATTTCTTAAAATGGATACTGCAACTTAGTTTTCACTTTCTTAACATGCCGCTGAATACAAAATGTTACATGGGACAATTTGCACTTTATGGTTTCTTAAGTCGTCAAACTACATTTTGTTCATGTCAGATCCTCTTTAACATATGAAATGGAATAATTGTACCCAATTCTAATCAGAGAAGATATCGCTGAATAAATGATGTAAGTTCATATGTAATTTCTGTTTTTAAAGATAGATTGCAATTTAGATTGGGATTTTAAGTGATCAAATCCATGAAAGAACTGGCAGACGTCCCCCCAAGGCCTAGCTCGAGTGGCAAAAGGTGGAGGATTTGTGGCTTAGGTCGCAGGTTCAAGCCCCACACCATGCAAAGCGATGCTCGGTATTTAAGTGGATCCCAAGGCTTAGCTCTAACTGCCCCCAAGGCCTAGCTCAAGTGGCAAAAGGTGGAGGATTTGTGGCTTAGGTCGCAGGTTCAAGCCCCACACCATGCAAAGCGAAACCCGGTATTTAAGTGGAGAAGGGTAGAGGGGAGGGCCCATTATCCACCGAGTTTAGAAGGCTATGATTAGTCCAAAGGGTGGGTCACAGACGGATTTCTCGGTTATCAAAAAAAAAAAAAACTGGCAGATGTATAAACTGTTATTATTCCATTAGTGCATCAGACTTGTCTACATACAAATGGGAAGTATGTATCCTTAAATGAGATGGGAAGAGAGTAGTATGATATCCATCTTATTAGATACATTTATTGCATCACAATTTTATTGAGTTGCTTTGTGGAAAATACATCTTATATACTTATGATTGTTTTGTTTGCTGCAAACTATTTTCTTTTTGTTGTCAGATTTTGATCAGATTGCGAGTCCTGTCTCTGTTGCACACTTCTCCCAGTACAAGCTCTCCAGATTGCTGCTTAAGCACCTTGAGAAACTTGGTTTCCATATGGTAAACTCTGAAAAGCGTGAGCATGGCTCTATTGGTGAGAGGGAGATCCTTATGGGGCATGAGTGCATTGCAGTCAATGGTGCTGAGCGTGGTGTCACTGTAACAGCCTCTTTCCTTTCTAAAGGGAAGTATATGACGAGAGATATTCAGTGCCATTTCCTTGTTGGTACAGATGGTGCAGGAAGTAGTGTCAGAAAGTCCTTAGGAATCAACATGAGAGGTGAAAAGGACTTGCAAAAGCTTGTTAGTGTCCACTTCCTGAGCCAAGAATTAGGGCAGTATCTCATTAAAGAAAGACCCGGCATGCTGTTTTTCATCTTTAATAGAGAGGCTATTGGTGTTCTTGTTGCCCATGATCTCAAGCAAGGGGAATTTGTCCTGCAGGTAAACCTGTTTTCTAATGTGAGAAATTGGCATAGCTATAATATCCACCTGCTCGTATAAATAAATCTAAATCTGTTGACATTGGTTAACAGCATTTTGATGTCATTGGTAAAAATCTTGCAGGTACCATTTTATCCACCTCAACAGAAGCTTGAGGACTTTAGTTCTGAGGTGTTTTTCTACTCTTTCATTGAATTTTTTTGTGTAGTCTATTAGTCTAATAATTGCCTTTGGTGGAAGAGAATGAATCAATGGGTTTATGTTATCGTGATTCATTTATTTTGTGTACCACAATATGGGTGCTATGGCTGCAGTGCATGATATTTGTCCAATATGGTTTATTTACCATGTTATTCTTTGTACTTTATAAATGGTTGCAGATGTGTAAGAGATTGATCTTCAAATTGGCTGGCCTAGAGCTTGCAGACGTCAACGTGATGGATATTAAGCCTTGGGTGATGCATGCGGAAGTAGCTGAGAAGTTTCTATCTTGTAACAACAGGATAATACTTGCTGGTGATGCAGCTCATCGATTTCCTCCTGCTGGTGGTTTCGGTACGCAATCTGTTTGCGCGTTTATCATGTTTTCGTTATGTCAACTTAAAACTTGTAATTATTACCTTTCTAAAAATTGATATTATCTTGTCGTATCTTGGATACTATTAAGAATTAAGTTTTTGCCATTCCTTTTCTCTTGGGAGAGTTGGGGGAGGGGAGAGAAGACATTAATGCAGTACAGTGTTTTTTGTCATTGATTCGTACAAGAACGCTTCCTAAAATGTTGATGTAAAGGTAAAAAATAGCAAAGTTATTTCTGTGGGAGGGAAATAACAGATTTCCACGTAGCTCAAAATATTGGAGCTATAATCAGCTTAACTAAGCTTAAGAGGGCATTTGTTGGTTGGAGGACATCTGAACTGCAATCAGGCTCCACATTATGATGTTAGTTACTATGCATTGCCCTGGTGATTTTAACACGGTTGATATTGTGTCTAATTACATGTAGAGAACCTGATAGCAATATGGTAATTTTAAATGACATAATCAATTACATTTGTAATAGTGTTCCCTCTCTAACCATTAAATCTTTTAGATGAAATGGTTCACACAATTCATTATGTAATCAAAGTGTGTCCATGTTCTTTCTCTAATCGCTACCTGTCTAAGAAATATTTCTGACTTGCTTGGCCATGAGATCCTGGGAAACACTTACAAGGAATTCTAAAGACGTAAGGCCACCAAAGGGTGTGGCATAACGATTACTGAAGTGGGTATGAATTTTGGAGACCAGGGTTCAAGTACCAGCAGAGTGTTCCCATCTATCTAAGCCTTGATGGATAGAGTACCTGTGTTGGTGGAAAGTAGCAAGTAACCAGTGAAATAGTCTAGGTGTGCGCAGGCTAGTCTAGACCCCACCATTATTAAAAAAGACATAATTAAGAAAAATAAATAGTGTCATTTCCCCTCTATAATTGATTGAACATTTAGATGAGATTGTTCGAATATGGGGAAAATATGTCGAAGAGAAGGTGGAAAATAAAAGAGAACTTGGCAAATAATTTTATATCCTGCAGAGACAAACGAACTGGTTTTGATAACTTCTAAATCAGGTTGTGAAAATTTTAAGGTGTCGTGTAAGATGCATCCAACTCGCGCATCATGAAATATATCTGCAGTTCTTATTTATTTTAGGATTCAATTGTTGAGACTGGGAGAAGGAGATCTGCTCAAGATTCCTTCATCTTTTATTCAGGGATGAATACTGGTATTCAAGATGCTCATAATCTTGCTTGGAAATTAGCTTCTGTAATTGAGGGTGTCTCACCAATATCAATTCTTAACTCTTATGAACTAGAACGCAGTCAGGTATTCATTTCCTCAATTCTGGTGTCATAGTATAAATGGTAGTCTATGTATTACAGATTTCTCTGATCTTGTTATTATGAGATGAACACACTCCTTAAAACGTTTCAGATAGCTCAATTTAATACAGCACTTAGCGTCCAAAACTTTAAAGCAGCAATGAAAGTTCCTGCTGCACTTGGTCTTGATCCAACTGTAGCAAATGCAGGTAAAATGAAAACATGAATTTTTTTATTACATTACTATATAATTAAGACATTATGTGTTTTTGCCTGCAGTACATCGAGCTCTTAATGACACTGTTGGTTCCATTCTGCCATCTGTACTTCAAAGGACAATATTAGATGGAATATTCAGCATAGGTCGTGCACAACTCTCAGATTTTGTATTGAATGAAAATAATCCACTTGGATCTGCAAGGCTAGCCAAATTAAGACAGATATTTGAAGAAGGACAGAGCCTTCAGCTCCAGTTCCCTGCTGAGGATCTTGGTTTCAGGTTGTGTATCTACTTTTTTTTTTATCCATCTCATGCAAATTGTTCAAGCAGATTTTTCAATTATTATTGTCTAATTCATGTCTCCTATAAATGCTGGATGCTGTCTCAACTCGTAATAGAACTCCAAAAAATCCATCTTGGATGTACGCCAGATGATTATTTCTATCTTATCTATCCTGTTGGAAGTACTTGTTTTCATCAGTACTCTAATTTCGAGATGTTCACATTAGGTATCGGAAAGGAGCATTGGTGTCTGAAGATGACAGTGTGTTGAATGTGCATGAAGCACCAACAGGACGAAGAAGGGATTATATTCCTTGTTTGGAACCTGGATCAAGGCTCCCTCATATGAATGTTAAACTGCTTTCTAACCCGTCAAGCAAGGTATGAAATCTTTCAAGGGAACATTGCCTTGGTAGGAGCCAGACTTTGTTACATGTCTTGTTCGTCATCTCTTCACACGTGTGGAGAAGCCAAATAACTGAATCCAAAGAGGATTTTTTTTAAACCTCTAGCATTCCTAAAGATAACAATTTTCGATTTGTAGCCATTTTGTTTCAAGTTTCCATTACTATTTTGTCTAACAGAATACAATCTTATGTAGGAAATATTCTCTACTCTAGACCTCGTATCTATAGATAAGGTTGAGTTTGTCCTTATAATAGCGCCATTCAAGGAGTCCTACTGTCTGGCTCGAGCTGCGCTAGAGGTGGCCAACAAATTAAAACTCCCTTTAAAGGTTTGTGTAATGTGGCCAAACGGAAGTATTGACGGAGCTGGAAGAACTGAGGCTGCATTGACACCCTGGAAATCTTTTGAAGAAGTTGTGGAAGTGAAGAGGTCATCAGATTCGCCATCCTGGTGGGACATCTGTCAAATGACAGACAGAGGAGCCATATTAGTGAGACCTGATGAACACGTTGCTTGGCGTACAAAATCCAGAATTGCAGATCCCATCATGACGATGAAAAGCGTTTTCCATATTGTTACAGGAGTTGATTGCATCTGATAGCACCTTTGATGAAATTCTTACCCCCATTTATGTATGGTAGGCTTGACATTCCTTCTCTGATATACATTAGCTAGATTACAAGGTTGGAGTACTTTGCTTTCGGATGGGTAGAGTTACCCAATACCTATACTTACAGGTACTCAATGAAATAATTGAGGTGTAGCAAGTTTTCGGACACCAGAAGTACCTTCATTTTAATAACAAAAACCAGTTGTGCTGGTAATTTTCTTTCAATTAAGTTCTTGAAGTTATATTTTGACACAAATCTGCAGTCACATATTGGTCTTGACTTGTTGAAATTGTAGTCTTTAGCACATTTATAAATAGTTGAAGTCTTCCTTTGATTTGGTTTTTAAAAGTATTTTCTCTAATATCTCCTAACAAACAACTTAGTATAGGTTTTAAATATTCGAATTTTAATCTTAAAATATTAAATTAATCTAATTTAATATAGCTTCTATAATTTTTTTAAATTCATGATTCTTGATAAGGGAGAAATATTACGTAAATTGGGACAGAAAAACATAAATTATGACAAAAGGGAGTATTTAGACTAACACAGACAATTAAAAAGAAATTACAAACACAAACAATAGTGGGTACAAAGAGAATCTCTATATTTGGAACACAACTTCAATTCAATTTTCTATTTTTTCATTCCAAAAAAGAATCTTCATTTTTCTTTCCTTGATATGATACTAAGTACTGATATGAAATTATTTTTTATCCCAAATTTTTAAATAACATAAATTACAAGCAAAAAAAATATATATTACACATATTAATGAATAATTCAGATAAAAGTGAAATTATGGGTGAAATACAATTAAATAAATATTACATCATGACTCAACTTTCAAGATTATTATAACAGTACAAATATCTGTTTTGTTGATGATTTTTCATTTTTTTAAATCAAAAAGATCTAGATTTTGAAAATCTTAAGAATAACCCAGAAATCTTTTATTATCAATTTTTTTCGTATAGAAAATTGGTAAAAACAGAATTCTCTTGGCCTAAAAGAGTTGAATACTATTCCCCTGAAAAGTATGGATGTGGTAGAATGGAGATTGATTATGAGTCATTTTAAGATATTTGGAATAAATAAAGTTAGATATTGACAACATAGTTGGGTTGCAATTCTGGTTGGAGGGGAGTGATTCTTCTTTCATAATTTGTTCAAAAACACAAAAATATGGAAGAATATCACATTATATTATGGTTATCATTCTCACTCTTATTGTGGTCTTACTTACCTCAATGTTACTGTTATTCTATTCTTGACTCTTTATATATTTTATTGTGAGTTCTTTGAATGAAAATTGAAGAAAATTTGGGAGGCCCCTTCCAAAAATGAAAAAATAAAAAAAATCTACAAATTTAAAATTTTCCGAAATTTGTATTCTTATAATTCTTATAATTATTGATAGATGGGAATCGCCGATCGGTGTGAGAATTATTTATATATTTCATTATTGTGTATGAGAGGTGTAGATTTGTCCATGTAGTTAAAGATGTCTTAGTTGCATAAATATTGTTGATATTATGTCCCAATGTAATCTTCAATAAAATATTTTAATTAGATTGATAGAAACAAAACAATAAATATGTAGATAAATAATTTAGATTTAATTAACGGCTTAAATCATTCGGTATTCGAAATCACTTTCAACATACATGCACAAAATGAAATGACATTGCATATATCGAAATTATGTGATACTCTACCAGACAAGTTCAATTTCAGCTAGGATTCTTGAATGCTACTCTATCTTAAGTCCTAGTGAATTCTTATATAAAGGGTAATATATAGCATCTTGAATATACCACAAATTTTTGTGTATTCACAAAAAGATCAAGATCTCGAATATCTCATAAACTCTTGGGATATTCATAAAGAGATCAAGATATGATCACCAGACTTTCTTGACAATAAAGAGGTCCAAATCATATACATTCGAGATATACACTATTAACAACCCTCGTATCACAAATAAAATTCCAGTTATCGTCAAGATTAAGAAACTCTAGCTCTCACTATCATCTATCACCTTCTCTTTTGGGTTGTCTTCATCGTTTAACAATATGAAAATCTATAAGAATATGAAGTAATTAATTAATCACTCATTTAATTTTCTTATCATATATATCCGTAAATAAAAGAAGACAGATTTGTATATACAGTATTATGCCCGATGAGTTGTAAGGGTAAAGGCAGGAAGCCGGTCATGTCAAAGTCGATCTTTGATGACAGTGGTGACCTCGGCTCCATTCAGTTCACCACCTCCGAGTCTCAGAGTGAGGAAGCTGTGGGGTCTAGTACCCCAGAACATACTCTGATGCCGGAAGTCGAGTTAGCAAAAATGAAGCATTTAGCGTGGCGGTCTAAAACAACTCATGATCCATTGACATTGCCTCTAGCACCACCACCATCTCAGGTACCACAAGTGCCTCTTGTTCCAGTACATCCTCCCCGATCTACGAATAGGTTGAAGGTCGTTGGCTGGCAGTTCATACTTGAGAAGAAGCAACTGTCCACATCCGGAGTGGTGAACAAACACCCCACTGTTTGGGAGACCTTGAGGTACAAAATATTCAAGCAGTTCAGCAAACCCCAAAATCTATATGTGCCTATATGGGTTCGGGAGATCTATGAATGGTTGACAAAGTTGGTCCCAAAGGGGAAAAAGAAGGAAGGGTTGATGGCACCGGTTGATTTTTTTGAGGTGCACGGAAAGAAAGTCAAGTGCAGTGAAACATATATAAATGATGAGTTGGACTGCACGACACAGACTCGACACTTTTTGGCCGACAAGATTAAACTATAAACTCTAGAAGATTTGAAGGGGTGGCTTGCCCCACCAGTGTGTGACGCCACTCCCCCATGGATCGAAGCGGGGGTAGTTAATGAGAAGAAGGACCTGAAAATCGCGGTGCGGTACTTGATCGGGTTTATTAGCATCACTTTGATGCAATCTCAGAATGAGTCCATCATCTGACATCCAAAAGCTACACTTTTTGGATGTATTGTCAATTGGGAGCGGCTAAATCTTGGGTCCATCGTTGCACAGGAGATGACTATTGTTGACACTCAAATTTGGCTCTCCACATTTATTTAACTATAGTTTTAATACTAATAATAATAATAATGATAGTAAAATATATATTTTACGAACTTTTGTAGGAATACGAAAAAAACAGTTTTAAAATATAGTTTTTATCTTATTTGATATATTTTATTTCATAATTTGTTTCTTATAAAAATTATATATATATATATATATATATATATATATATATATATATATCATTGTTATAACCAAATATTAGACGGAAAAAGTTATTTATTATTTAGATGAACTTTAATTATTATTAAATGCCATATATATTCAACATTATATTATTAATACTACTATGTGAATAAATTTGACTTTGACTTGTTGAAATTGTAGTCTTTAGCACATTTAAATAGTTGAGAAGTCTTTTAGTATTTGATATTTGATTTAGTTTTTATTTTATTTCCCTCATTTGCATTAGAAAATATGTTTCAGAAATATCAAAAAAAATTTAAAAAATCGAATTGAATTGATGTTTGGTGGATATTTTTCTAGTTATAACCAAAAGAATCGAAGTTTGATAAAATTGTATCAATTAATCAAACGCTCACCCCTAATTACTAATACTTGATGTCATCATCCTAAAATTGAGAACTCATAAGGTTCAAATCTAATCTTTAAAATTACTTCATATATACAAATTATTTATTTAATTTAATTATACATAATCTTGTAAGTCTTGTGATTACAATCATCGTCATCATCATGAAAATCCAAGTTCTTACAATTATCGATCACCTTCTCTTTTGAGTTGTTATCTTCATCGTTAACAATATGGAAATTCGTAACAGTGTTATTATTATTATTACTATTAATATTATTCGATTTTGGAGGAGTAGCTTCTGGTGGTGGTGGTGGTGATGAGAGTAGTACTTTTCGAGAGAGGGTGGTGGAAGGGAAAGTTATATTACTAGTACTCTAACAAGACAAAAGGGAAATAATTGTTTTGCCATTAATTGTTTTCTTTTTGTTTGCACAATTGTTAATGTTTTTTAATGGATCAATTCACTATTTCACATGTATAAATAATAGCTAGAGCTTTACCTTGTTTGTGTTGGATTAGAATTTCCTTTTTCTATTCTTTTTTGGATTTGCTTATTAATTCATATTCCCTAACGACTATGGAATGCATATTAATTAATTAATTACTCATTATTATTTTCTTAACCCTGTTTAACCTAATTAAACATGTTAGCAGCTTCATTTTTTAATTTTATTTTATGGTCTGGCCACTTTGTTTTTTTGTTTTTTATTTGTTTTTTACGCAAACTATCGAGAGAACACAAAAATAGAGCAAATAATGCACAATCTATTCACTACAACAAAAACAACTTTTAGCGGCAATAAATAGACACATTAATAAAGAGTGCTAAAGTCTTTACCGGCATTATTAAGTGCGATTAGATCCAATGTCGCTAAAGTCATTTGGAGACATATACAAAGAGTGCTAATTGCCGCTAAAAATACATATTTAGCATAATTGCTAATTAATTGCCGCTAAAGCTCATTTTAGATGTAGTGATTTGATTGACATAATTTTTAGATGGACCACTACTTGAGTTATTTTGTCAAGGGAGAAGAATATTTGTGCCCAAAAAAGGGAAACTATTTACAAGCGGCTACCCCCTTACGTTCATACCCCATGTTTTTAACTATTAATTCGTGTTTATCGCTTGCTACCTTCAAAGTATATATATACTCTGATGGTATCAAAGAGGAAGAAGTCGTACTTCAGTTATATTCTGATGACATCAAGGAGGAAGCGACATGAAAAGACTGCTTGATACTATCATAGTATACAGGGGCGGCTCAACGTAATTGGGGGCCTAAAGCGAAATTTCAATTGAGGCCTAACAAATTTCATACATATTTATTTTAAAAATTATTTTTCTAACTATTTAGATGCAAATTATTACTTAATTTTTTTTATAGATGATCTTTTCGAGTACTTTTTATTTAAAATTATTAGTTTTAGGTAAGATTTTATCAGTTCAACATTGAAAAATATTATTTTATTGAAGTAATCATTATATGAGTTGTTAACACAATTCTATAAGTAATAAGTTGACAAACTTTAAGCAAAAATGAGTTTTAAAAATAAATAATGTGAATGTTAGC